AATCCCGGCAGCGGAATGTGTGACCTGTATGCTCCAGCGAGTTGTGAGATCGACAGAACCCGTAAGATCCTCTATGTTGCCGATACGGGTAATCAGCGTGTCATGGCTTATGAAATATCCTCCTCCAAGGCTGGACGAGGACCTCTCGAGGGTAATGCCATTTATCTGCTCGGTCGCCTCTTCCTATGCCACTAGCTCCAGGTACAGTAGTGTGTGGTGGACATGGACGTGGGACCTCCCTCTCCCAGCTAGAGTGCCCCATAGACCTAGCCTTGGATGGGGATGGCATCTATGTAATGCTTCAGTGCTCATCCTTACTCATGCTTATCGTCACTGCAGGTATGCGACTATGGCAACCACAGAGTCCTTAGGTGGGAGCTCTCATCCGATGGTCTATCGGCCGCTTCTGAGGCCGGACAGCTCGTCGCTGGTGAGAAGGATAGTATCCTCGAAACTACCCAAGTAGTTCATACGTACCTCTCTCTAGGATCCCCGGATGGGTTCTCTGGTCACCTAACAACACAGCTTCATCATCCCTGTGGCATCGCTCTAGATCCCGTCAGTAAAGCTCTCTACATAGCTGACAGGTAGTAATAGAAGCACCTTAGCCCTACGGATACCTATCTCACAGGGACAATCATCGCCTGCAACTTTGGCCGCGACAGGCTAGTGTTGGCGTCACAGTACTGGACTCCTCCGTCGCTCACTTCCCTAACCGTGTGAGGCGGTCTATGTACACAGGTGATCATGCATGTGTCGACTGTGTACACCTGAAAGGAGCCCGAAGCATTCAGGATCTATATTCATAGCAGAACCTGGTATAAGGAGGATCATCGTGCGTCGTAACAATTTCACACCGACGCGGATACGCCAATGGGGAGAGCAATGGAATAATAAGCAGCAGCAACAACAACAAGAACAGATAAACGATGGGCGTGGGAATCGCGGTGGTGGAGTTCGGGTTACCGGCAATACGTCGTAATAAGAAGGCTCAGATTCAACGGCTCGATCGTCGTAGCATCTTGGCATGTAGGTTTAATGACCGAGCGGTGGAACAAGAACAACAGATACAGGACGCTTTTGCGGTGCCCCCAGCAGCCGTCTGAGGATCCTACATTAGATCCTTTTATGTTCCCTGATAGGGACTATGATTAGTCCGAGGAGCGTGCTTCATGATGCTCTCATGTTGTTGTTAATGCTTGTTGTTCACTCACGACGTCTGACTGGTGTTCAAGTCATCATCATCAATGTTGCATAGAATAGTAGTCCTCTTTGGGTGTCCTCTTCTCGTGCAGTGTATATTACCTATACGCTCACTCCAACTCTTTGTAGTAGTAGATAGTATATTTGGCTTTGGAGTGGTAATAACTCTATTGCTACTGCTGATAGCCATAGATGTCGGGTCCTCACCGAACACCACCAGTATGGAAGGAGAAGTTCGAGATGGGCATTACCACATTAGCGCCATCACCACACTCTACTGCAGTGGTTGTTGGTGGTCGGGCTATGCTCAAGTAACACACTGTTCGTGTAGATAATGATGATCTCTACTACTCTACTACTCTTAGAGTGGCGGATATGGAGGCAAGAGGGCTGAGGACAGTCCGCAATTTGAAGAACAAATTCAACGTTACAGCCGCTGCAGTGAGCCGCCGCCGCCGCCGCTGCCATCGTCGTCGTCGTCACTATTCATGGACAACTGATCGTTCTGATCCCTCAGATTCATCCCTTAGTTGACCATATCGCCTGTACTGGTAGCAGCAACGGGCAGGTTCTCGTCTGGGACTATCGGAATATGAGCTACTCCCCAGTGGTAGGTGATATACCCATATCTAGTAGACATTGTCTACTGTCATCACTATCACCATCATTAGATTGAGCGCTGGATGGCCCACCCCCGAGCAGTTACAGCGATGTGCTTCATACCGCAGCGTCGGGATTCTGGTCAGCGTCGATGTTCACTGCGCAATATGGCACTCTACCTCATCCTCCTCGTCCGCCGCCTCCTCTTTCAGATACATCTCCATCACCAACAGCATCATATCTCTTATCGGCCGGGCAGGAGGGTAACCTCACAATATCCAGTTTGCCATCCTACCAGGTGATGAACCTTAGGCTATACTGCTGCGGGAAGGCCTATCCATTGTTAGGGTAAACGGTCTAATGTCGGGGAGCCGGGAGATCACGAATGGAGAGCTCACGTTACTCATGCACAGTTGAGGTGGGGTTATCAGTACCAAGCTTTGAACCTATCTTCAATCATCTTAGGGGTGATAGTCGTGGCAGTATTAGATTAATGAATCTCCCTGCCGTTCGAGACATCGAGGCGGTACCAGCATTCAATGGTACATGCCAGATACTCTGTGCCAACGACGATGGCAGTGTCGAGATTTATAGTAATAAC